AAGTGCACCTATGGTATTTTAATTTGCGTGAAATATATATATGAAACTTCAGAAAGAGCGGTTCTTTCACTTGTTTGACTTGATTTTTTTTTTTAGCTGGGTTACAAGTCCTCCCTGCCTCTATTCATCTCTGTATGAAAATTTAAGAACCAATGATCAAGGGAAGTAAAAAATAAGAAGACTTCGTTAACAATAGCAGCAGTTAAAGCCATAGTTAGTCCAAATTAACAGTGATGACACAGCAGTTACAAAGAATTGTTCCTAAAAATTGTGGGAATTCCAATTGTGTTTGTGTACAGTGCAGTAGGAGCATCTAATTGGGCATGATATTGACAGTTTGCCTCTTACTTTTAGTAATCAGGTACAGAATTTGAGTTCTCAGTAAATTCTATTAACAAATAGTTTAATTTATGCATATCAAATACTAGAAAACCTTAACAATTTACATAGTAAGTTATTAGAAAGTATAACGTTTAGTTTGATATGACAGATTAGGGAATTTTGTCATTTTGTATGCCCTATGATAATTAGGCATCAGTTTAAATAAAGCATTGTCTCATGATTACTTTTTTATTGCATTTTATTTATAAAGGTTTTAAGTTTGTTTTAGGCTTAGCTTTTACATACTTGCTGTAAAAACAGGCAAAAATGTGAGAAATCATTGGTCATCATAGAATTTCTAGACCTGCAGTACAATTTTCTTTAACTTGGGACATTTGCAAGTTTAAAATAAAATGTGTCTTCAAAAGATAAGATGCAGAATAATGCAAATGAGTATAATTTACTTTAATCATGATTTTTTATCTTTTATTGTTTTTGCCTGTGCTTAATAAAATTAAGTTCTGTTCAAAATATATGCTGAGCATTTACCAGCTTTTGAAAGTAGTGTTTGTCCCAGGTTGAGAGTTGAGAGGTACATAGCTCTTACCTGGATGTATCATTAGGAACCTGAGCTTTTGATGTTTTGAAGACCTTTTATACTTAAAATTAACAGGTTGGGGGAAGAAATGACATATGTTCAGGAAAAAAGAAAGGAATTAAGATGTAAACAAAAGTAATACAGTAGGAGATAAAACCCAAGAGTGATTCTTGGAGGAGGGAAAATCACAGTAGATAAATTACTAAGTAGCCTTATTGAGAAATTGGGAAAATTGTTAAAGAACCTATCACCCAAAAGAAACTCAGGCCCAGAAATCTTTCACACAAGTCTTTGAAACCTCAAAGAACAGATAACTCCAGTACAGAGAGTTCTAGGACTATTTCAGAACATAAAGTATGAAAACGTCCCTGTCTTTTATTTAAACCCAACTACTGATAACAAATCCTGACTGAAGATAATACTAAAAAAGAAAAGTACAAACCATTTAAATGTTAAAAGTATAATCCAACAATATAGCAAGTGTAATAGACCACGATCAAGTGAGATCAATCCCAGGAATATGAGGACAATTCAGTATTATGTGCTTGATCAGTATATCTCATCATGTTAACAGATAAGAGGAAGAAAAAACAGTTGTCAATGCACTGGTAAGATTCAGCATTGACAATTAAAAAACAACAACACAAAACACAACACTTAGGTCAACAACAACAACAACACAAAACAGAACACTTAGTTAGGTTACTTAGTGTAATTAGAGGAGTGAAACACCTTCCAAAGACCAATATCCTACTTAATATGTCATTGGAGTGAAGAACAGGTCAGGTCAGGGATGCTTTATCTGACTAGGGAAAATTCGCTACCTGTTTCAAGGGAAACATTTAATAACATGGAGTTGACAAGACCTTTTTTAGCATTACAAGTACACAAACATATACTTTCATACCTCAGCCCAAAAGCCAATAAATTACCAGATACCTTTACACTAAAATCAGCTACAAAGCAAAGATGGTCTCTATCTCCACTAGATTCTCTTTGAAGGTATTAGTCACTGTAGGACAAGTGGGTAATAAAACTGGACACGTAAGAATTGGAAGAGGTTCATGGGAACGTGGGAATAATCAAGTCAGTCAAAAAAATTTAACGCAAATAGGAAGAATTCAGTGAAGTAATACGATGTGAAAGTAATGAACAAAAATCTGTAGCTTTCATATAAGCAAGCAGTAACCAGTTGGAATATCTCATGGAATCAAATGTTCATTTATTACAGCAACAGAAAGACAAAATGCCTAGGAATGAAATGTAACAAGAAATGTGAAGTGGTGACCTTGAGTAAGGGTATTGTATGGTGTATGTAAGGTTATAGTTTTATCTTTTTCAAAACTTAAGGAAAACTTTAAAATATTTTTGACCGCTAACAAAAATGTACTTGGAATAAATGGAAAGACATTCCATGCCTTTGGATAGGATAACTCAACAAAGTTGTTGGTTCTCTCCAAGCTTAGTGCTAACTTACTTGTAAAAATCAGTTATTTCCACAAGCTAGACAAGTTGATTCTAAAGTATATTTTAATAAATATTTTTAAATTTTCTTTTAATGTTTATTTATTTTTGAGAGAGTGAGCACGAGATGGGGAGGGGCAGAGAGAGAGGGAGACGATGAATCTGAAGCAGGGTCCAGGCTCTGAGCTGGCAGCATAGAGCCCGATGTGGAGCTTGAACTCATGAACTCTGTGAGATGATGACCTGAGCCGAAGTTGGACGCTTAACCAACTGAGCCACCTAGGCGCCCCATTTTAAAGTATATTTTGATGGGAGAGGGAAGGAGGCAGGTGTTTGCCAAGAAAAGTCTGAAAAAGTATATCAATTGCTGAAGTTGGAGAGGTATTGCTCAGCCCTACTAGATATGAAGAGACTATTATGTTTCTCTAATCACAGTAGTGAGGCATTAATGGACAAATGGAGTAGAATAGAATAGAAACTACGTGATGGGAAGTTGAACTTTTTTTTTTAAAGACTGGTTAACCATTTGAAAAAGATAAAATTGTATCCTTATCTCACATACAACATTCCTACTTAAGGTCACCATTGTTTTGTTTACCTTAAAGTAGTTTTGCCTGTTTTAGAACTTCATATAAATGGAGTTATACAGTATGTCCTCTTTTGTGTCAGCTGTTCTCACTCACCATATCTGTGAGATTCATCCATGTTGAGTGTATTAGTATTTCTTGACTTTTTATTACTGATTAGTAGTCCATTGATATCTATTTATGTATTTGGTTTCTTTCTTGGGTTTGGCTATTTTGAATAGAGATAAAATGAACATTCTTGTATGAGTCCTCTTTAGGATATAGGTCTTTCCTTATGGATAAATACCTAAGAATGAAATTGCTGTTGTCCATTTAGATTTTTAAGAAACTTCCCAGTTGTTTCCCAAAGTATTTTATCATTTTACACGAATGTCCCAGTTGTCTCCACATTCTCCTCAGCGTTTGGTTTTGTCACTTTTTAATTTTAGCCATTCCAATAAGTGTATAGGTGTAGTTTTTTTGTTTTTGTTTTTGTATAGGTGTAGTTTTAATTACATGTCCATGATGACAGTGCTGTTTTGTGTTTGTTAGACTTTTTTTTTTTTTT